TGGAAAGGATGTGCAGCAGATTAGGCTTGTTAAATATAGGAATGGTAATGTTCTAACAAGTGAGGAGAGTGTGATGAGAAGATGGAATGAGTACTTTGAAGAGATAATGAATGAAGAGAATGAAAGAGAAAGAAGAGTAGAGGTCATAGAAACTGTGGACCAGGAAGTGGGAAAGATTAGTGAGGATGAAATCCAGATAGCTCTCAAAAAATAAAAAAGGGGAATGAAGTAGGGCCTGATGACATATGAGGGGAGGTTTGGAAATATCTTGGAGAGAGGGCAGTGAGGTTTTTGACTCAAATATTCAATGGCATATTTGAAGGTGAAAAATGCCCGATGAATGGAGAAGAAGTGTGCTGGTGCCCATTTTAAAAAACAAGGGTGATGTACAGAGTTGTATCAACTACAGGGGAATTATGTTGATGAGCCACATTATGAAGATCTGGGAGAGAGTTGTGGAAGCTAGCCTTAGACTAGAGGTGACTATTTGTGAGCAGCAGTATGGTTTCATGTCAAGAAAGAGCACCACAGATGCCATATTTGCTTTGAGAATGCTGATGGAGAAGTACAGAGAGGGTCAGAAAGAACTCTGCGTCTTTGTGGATTTAGGAAAAGCGTATGACAGGGTGCTGCGAGAGGAGGTGTGGTATTGCAGGAGGAAATCTGGAGTGGCAGAGAAGTATGTTAGACTGGTACAAGACATGTATGAGGACAGCAGGACAGTGGTGAGATGTGCTGTAGGAGTGACAGATAGCTTCAAGGTGGAGGTAGGATTGCATCAAGGATCAGCTCTGAGCCCCTTCTTGTTTGCTCTGGTGCTGGACCGACTAACAGATAAGGTCAGGCAGGAATCCTCATGGATTATAATGTTTGCAGATGGCATTGTGATCTGTGGTGAGAACCGGGAACAGGTGGAAGAGAAATTGGAGAGGTGGAGGTATGCACTTGAAAGAAGAGGAATGAAAGTCAGCCGTAGTAAGATAGAGTACATGTTTGAATGAGAGGGAGGCCGGTGGAACAGGGAGGCTACAAGGAGCAGAGGTCACAAAGGTGCAGGACTTCAAGTACTTGGGGTCTACTGTCCAGGAAAATGGGGAATGTGGTAAAGAGGTGGAAAAGAGAGTCCAGGCAGGATGGAGTGGATGGAGAAAAGTTTCACAAGTGATTTGTGACAAAAGAGTGGAAGCAAATGTCAAAGAAAGAGTTTACAAGACTGTTGCAAGTCCAGCTATGTTGTATGGTCTGGAGACAGTGGCATTGACAAAAAGACGAGAAAAAAATGGAAGCGGTGGAAGTCTTTAGGAGTGACCAGGATGGATTCAATTCAATTTAATTCAGTTTATTTATATAGCGCCAAATCACAACAAAGTTGTCTCAGGGCACTTTACAGGAACATTCACATAAAAGCCAATTAGTAAAGTTCTCTATCTAAGGAATCCAGCAGACAAAATGAATCTTGGCTTTGTTGCAGTCTCCCATCCTGAGCAAGCACAGTGGCAACAGTGGAAAGGAAAAACTCCCTTTTAACAGGAAGAAACCTCCAGCAGAACCAGGCTCAGGACAAGCGGCCATTTGCTTTGACCGGCTGGTTGAGAGGACAGGAAGGAGACAGACGAACACAGAATGGTAGGTCCAGGTAGAGGTCCAGGTGTACCTGAAAGACAAAAAAAAAAAGAAACATGTTAAGGATAGAAAAAAATAATTACAAATACAAAACAGGTTGAGCAGAGTAAGTAAAGACAGTAGCAGAGAGAAAAATGTGGTCAGTTTGTCCTCCAGCAGTCTAAGCCTATAGCAGCATAACTAAGGGACAGCTCAGGAAACCCAAGCTGACCCTAACTATAGGATTTATCAAAAAGGAAAGTCTTAAGCCCAGTTTTAAAACTGGATAACGTGTCAGCCTCACGGACAGAGATTGGAAGTTGGTTCCACAAGAGAGGAGCCTGATAACTGAAAGATCTGCCTCCCATTCTGTTTTTGTAAATTCTAGGAACCACAAGTAAACCTGCAGCCTGAGAGCGAAGTGCTCTGTTAGGAAAATATGGAACAATAAGATGACTGAGATGGTTTGGACATGTCCAGAGGAGGGACAGTGGGTATATTGGTAGAAGGATATTATAAATGCAGCTGCCAGGAAAAAGACAAAGAGGACGGCTAAAGAGGATATTTATGGATGCATCCAAAAAAGTTCAATCTGGTCCTCTGGACGTTCAAAAAAACAAAAAACAAAACAAAGAAAAAAAAATGTAGATACGTTTCGTCTTTCATCCAAAAGACGGGGGATTATTGAGCATGCATCAGGATATTTTATGGATGCAGTTAGAGAGGACATGGAGGTAGCTGGAGTGAGGACAGAGGATGCAGAGGACAGAGTGAAATGGAGGAGGGCGACTCACTGTGAAGACCCCTGAAGAGGGAAAGCCAAAAGAAGAAGAAGATTAATGTTTCTGTTCATTGCCCTGAGACAACTTCTGTTGTGACTTGGTGCTATATAAAAAAAATGAATTGAACTGAATTGAGATAAATGCAAAAAGAAAAAAATTGGCCATCATTATAACACATATTATAGTTTTAATGCCTAGAAATCAAAACTATAATGAAAGGTATTTTGTTGGTCGTATAAGACAAATGTTTAGTTTGTGGATTTTTGCAGAAAACCAAGTCTTCAAACTCATGTTGTGCCTGCATCTAGAACCAACATGCTGAGAAATGTGCCACTGAGACGTGTGTGCACTCCAGAACCCGAATTTTACATAACATTTGTTCAAGGAGCAGATTTGATTGCTTGCCTGTTTTATTTCAGTTTTTGCTGTCAAAAACTGTACTAGAACGTTAGATTTCTTCAGGCACTGGGCAATCAGATAATCTGGCAGGGAGGCAGAGACTGAGCAGTGCTTAAGAAGCTCAGCACACAGGTGAGCTGAATGAAGCTGATGATAATGGAGAAGTTAGCAAGGCAAACAGAAAACACAAATATGGGCATGGCTTGACATAAAACATGAATCATTTCACAGTTGCGCATACAAAGTACAAAAATTACTTTTGAGTTTCACTGAAAGCTGCCTAATAGTTCATAATATACTATATTTAGCTAATAGATAGACGCCCCCCCCCCCCCCACACACACACACACACGGCAGACTATGACACGTACTGTACTTTTTGTCTGTCTAAACAGATCTCACTTGTAAATGAGTCTTCTAGGCTCAATGTGACTTATCTGTCTAAATAAAGGTTGAATGAATGAACTTGTACATGTTGAAATGCCAATGAAACCTCTCTGACTCTGACTTTAAGAAGAGATCCCATTTCTCCTGTTTTGGCCTCACTGCATTGGGTCTTTGTGAACAATTGAATACAGTACATTTCAAAACACTTCTTTTTGCTCACAAAACCATCAAAGGGTTATATTTAAGCAGCTCATTCATTGTCCCCTGTAGTCCAACAGGAACACTTCACTCTCCGTACGCAGGTCTTTAGTTGTTCACAGAATGACTAAAACTAGAAGCCTCAGTTTTCAGGTTCCTTTCCTCTAGAATCAACAACGTTTCAAATCCCTGTTTGCATGCTAGGTACCAGCAGCTTCTTCACCTTTAAAAATAAGCCAAATATGTATTTATTTGACAAAAACGCATTTTTATTAGCACTTCTTACATACATAGCACCTGTCTTACAAATTAACCTGTTTGTTTCTTATCACATGGGCCATAATGGGATAGTGTAATTTCCTCTGTGTGTGTGTGTGTGTGTGTGTGTGTGCGCGCGTGTAAGAGTCCATCAAGTGTGTGTGTCAGAGTCCATTTTGTGTGTCAGAGTCTATTGCATGTGTGTCAGAGACAGTGTCCATCATGTGTGTTTGTGTCAGGGTCCAGAGTTGAAGAGTCTGATGGCTTGTGGGATGAAGCTGTGTTACACAGTCTGGTTGTGTTGGTCCGAATGCTGCAGTACCTTCTCCCAGAGGGCACAAGAGTAAAAAGTCCATGTGATGGGTGAGACAGGTCCTCCACAATGCTGAGAGCTTTCCAGATGCAGCGGTTGCTGGCAATGTCTATGGGAGATGGAAGAGAGACCCCGATGATCTTTTTAGCTGTCTCCACTATTTGTTGGAGAGAGTTGCGGTCCGATGCAGTGCAATTCCCAAACCAAACAGTGATGAAGCTGCTCAGGATGTTCTCATTGCTTCCTCTGAAGAAGGTAGTGAGGATGGGGGGTGGGGGTGGGTGGCAGATGAGCTTTTGTCAGTCTCCTCAGAAAGTAGAGATGCTGCTGAGCTTTTGTGGCGGCAGTGCTGGAATTAAGGGTCCAGGTGAGATCGTCCGCCAGGTGAACACCAAGGAATTTGATGCTCTTGACGATCTTCACAGAGGACCCGTCGATGTTCAGTGGAGGGTGGTCCCTTGGTGTTTTCCTAAAATCTATGACCACCTCTTTGGTTTTGTCAACATTCAGAGACAGTTTATTGACTTTGCACCAGTCCGTTAGCCGTTGCACCTCT